GCGTTGAATTTTCATCGATGTTAAGCCTAACAAAAATTTTTTAAAATAATAATCGTCGCTATTGTATCGTTAAAAATTAGAAAATTAAGCTTCGTTTAAATACTGGCTCCCTTTCATGGTCGAATGAGTGTTGCCAGCTAAAACACGTAAAAATAATATTAAAGTAGCCAAGACATAGCCAAATATTGTAGCGCCACATCACTAGCGGACATTTGAAATTTGCCAACTAGGACGGTCGGTTAACCGAGGGGTTGGTTGATCGGGGGGCGGATAATCGAGGTTCTACTGTAGTTTAAAAAAATTGGAATAACCAATAAACGAATACACAACATATTAGATATAAAAAAATAATAATAATAATGAAATATTGGCAACAATTTTTTAAAATTACAAAAAATAAAATTATTCTTTTAAATTAAATATAATACGTAGTTATAATCCATATTTATAATCCATGTATATCGTTAATCAGTAGCATTAATTGTTTTTCACATAAATATTGCCATGCTTTAGATAGAGGCTGTTCTTTAAAGTTGATGCTATTTCCTCTTATTACTGATTTATGAATTTCCAGTGCCTCAGGGGTTTGGATATGTTCTATGTTGTTCCATTGTTTGATAATAAATGGGTTTCAAAGTCTACTTTCACATTCTGTTCAGAGACAAACATAGTGAGGGTAGTGGTTAGCATCATAAAATGAAATAACCATACACCAGGTAGAAAAATGCAACACACACTGTCTCACTTGTCAATGTAGCTGGTTCCATTATACATATGCAAAGTTAGGTGCACTGAGAAATGGATGTTTCATAGCCAACAACCCAATATTTAAATCTAACTAGATTGTTTATATTATGATATAAGTAATCTCTAATATAATGATAGTTTCCATAAGTTGAAAATTTCTGTCCCTCTAATATCAAGTTTTTGATAATCTACTATATCTTAATAATTTCAGGATATCAAAACAATTTCTTGTTCTATTATAGAGGTAGGTGAATTATGAAAGTCCAATAGCTTCTTTAGACTTGATGTATGGTATGCTTCCTGTTTATTAATAATAATATATATCAATCATTTATTTGCTTTGACTTCTGCCTTTACAAAGGGGATACAACTTGAAGGAACATTGTTAAAATATAAGCATTATTGTATTATTTATTATCTACTTACAATTATATATAACTTAAATTAATAAGACTACATATTAACATATTTAGTGAATAACAAAAAAATTTATAAATTTTATATAACATTACAGAACTTAGCTCATATAGACAAGCCATATTAAAGTCAGTTGTCAAAAAAATATCCTTTAAATGTTCAATAAATTCACCTGATACAAACAAATGATTCTTAACATTTTCAAAAAATCGATTACATAAAGGACAATTGGAATAAGCTGAGATGTTAATTCTATGACCATTTAATACAATAACATATTTATTAAGATGTAATTGCATTATTAAAGATTTAATCTTATACTGTAGTTTAAATTTGATAACAGTAGTATTGAGGTGTCCATGGGAAAGAAAGAAAAGTTTCAAAAAAACTATAGTTTTGCTCTATATAGAGAATATCTTAAGCTCAATATTTATCTTTCAGTGACTAGAAAAGTTCAACCAAAAAATGTTTTTTTATCAGAAAAATAAGCATAATAAGCAAATGAATAATCTAAATCAGACAATAAGCATTCAAATAAGGAAGGCCAAGTTATGACCAAAGAATTACTTCCTGTTAATGTTATTTTGTTATAAACCAACTTTCTCAGCCGATTGCAGAGACAGAGTTTACGTTAAACAACGTTTTTCAACAGAACGGCCTGTAGACGTTGGCTGTCTGAACTGCGGTTTAAAATGCGTTGCAAAGACAATGATCGTCTATTTCTGACCGCTCTCTAAACGAACTTCGGCAAAACATTGGCTCTTACTTACTTCGCTATTACTCATCCTGTTTTAGGAGTCGTTGGGCCAATCGGGTTATTCGTTTGTGACGTCAGAAATGGTCGCCAGCTATATTCTGGAAGCTTCCAGAAATAAAATCTTAAGACCGTCAAAACCATTGTTCGGCAATTAATGGCAATCCTTTTCCATTTCGATATTTAATTTCGTCGCCAATACAGTTTAAAATACGAACAAATCCATATTTAGAAAATTTATACCAAATTCGAAATTCGTCTTCGGAATAGATTTTTAAGGAATTATTTCGACATCTTATTATTGTCTCCCTTCGTAACTTTCGAAATGAATAATTTTAAATATTTTATTATTAATTAT